TGCAGCTTACCAATTCTTAGATGTGATGACTGCATTAATTTTCTTTTTTATGCTTTCTTTGTTCTATTTTAACCTGTGATCCAGCCAGTAAGTCGTTGTTTTTCAACACAACAAGCTCTCTTGTATCAGTTACAGAGATGAGACAAACCATTTAACACTGACAGGGGTGCTTACAATGATCATATTTTATTTATTTATGTAAAACCTTTATTTCAATAGGAGAAAACATGTTTGCTGTACCTGTCTATAAAGTTTTAGCTGAAGTTTGGCTTCATTGTGTTAGTGTATTTAAATCTGCTAGTACATCTAACACTTCTCTCCCCCCAGACTGGCAATGCTGCTGTCCAAAGGTTCCACCTGTGCTCATTCATCCAGAATGTAGGCACTCTAAGGCTGGCCATACATTATACAATTATCTGGAGATTTGTGGTTTAGATTTACCAAAAACCATATAATAGGAGGACAAACCTAAACAACACTTTCAGTTGTATCCAATTAGGCAGGCCCTTGCACTACACAGTTGAAGGTAAATCTAAAGGAAATTGGGCAGAAAATTGGAAGATAATTGCATAATGTATGGCCAGCCTAAGGCTTCATGTACATGAGCCTACCGTGATTGCTGGCTGCAGGAAAATGCAAATCATGGCAAAAACGTGATACCATTGTTGCCACGATTTTGCAGCATTTTGCGTTTTCCCACGGTCAGCTGTCAAAACATTCCTATCCTATTCTTCCGCATTCAGGAGAGGGAGGTTTAACATCACCTAAACCTGGCAGCTCCTAAACTCAGCTAAAAGCCATCACAGTGGCTAAATGGTTAGCACTTCCCCCTGGCAGTACTAGGGTCATTGGTTCGAATCCCAGCCACAGCACCACCTGTCTGGAGTTTGCATGTTCTCCCTGTGCCTGTGTGGGTTTCCTCTGGGTAGTCCAGTTTCCTCCCACACTCCAAAGACATGCTGGTAGGTGAATTGGATCCTGTTTAAATTGGCCCTAGTATGTGTATGTATGAATGTGAGTTAGGGACCTTAGATTGTATGCCCCTTGAGGGTTAGGGACTGATGTGAATGTACAATATATATGTAAAGCGCTGCGCAAATTGACGGCGCTATATAAGTACCTGAAAAAAATAACAAAAGCCTATGTGTACACGGACACATAGGCTTTTATGGAGTTGAGTTTAGCAACTCAAAAAAGTTCAAAAAATGCCAAAAGCTCCTAAACTCGAGTTTAGGAGCTGCTCGTGTACATGAAGCCTAATATAGGAGGTGTGTTACTGGCTAAATCACAGGTGAAAACAGAGGGAAAAGGCCCTAAACAAGAAAACTACTGCAGCCACCACATCTAATGATCGGAAAGCTGCAATAGATTCCATTTTTTGGTTTTGGGTTTAATATTGCTTTAACTCAGCATTTTAGCAAGGAGGAGAACTGCCCCTTTTTAAAGTAGACCTTTAATTTTTGGTCAGCTTTAAATATTCAACACTTTTATTTGTACTGCACAGAGCAAGTAGTGCATAAAAACTATTCTAATATATGTCCAATGATTATAAAAAAGAGCAAGTTCTGATATTTAAAAAAAAAAAAAAATCAGTTTAATGTGCCTTAAAAATTGTTTGCAGTGTTCGTTGTTCCAGGCCAGCCATATTTTTCTTTAATAACAATCCTTGGTAATAACAGAAATGGTTTTTAGAAAACTAAAATAAAAACAAAACAGAAGAAAGGCTTCAAATGTTAGGAAATTGCAATCTGATACCATGTAACTTAAACCTGAAGTCCCCTTTCTTGTACTAAATGACATACAGATGGTCAACCTTCTTGAAACTTTGGGGAAACAATTGGCCTTTTTATAGTTGCACACACATAGCAGGAGCACCATATTTATACCATAGCCCTTTTTTTTTTTTTATAATTGTACATTTACTACAACCAGCAATTGTAAAGCAGTATTTTGTCAGGACAGAATAGCAAATGTGCAAGATTAGTTAAAATGTAAAATGAGAAATATGTAGTACATCTTAGTAAGTATAATTTAACCATCATAGAAAATGAAATGTATGTATAGGAATCATAACTTGTATAGAAACATAGAAAAGTGACGGCAGAAAAAGACAATGATCCATCAATTAAAGTAGTGTATACCTCATGGCGCCCCTCCAAGCTATGGATAGAAGAGAAAAGGATCACCCCACCAGCAAGTGAGAAGAGGGGAGCATGAATCCGAGTGATTCCAGTGCCAGCCAATACAAATGAAGGGATGGCCGCTGCTCAGGCCATTCCTCAACATTGTACTCCTGGGGTCAGTTGAGCAGCAGCCATCCCTTCAGTTAACCACTTCAAATCTGGACACTTTCACCCCCTTCCTGTCCAGGCCAATTTTCAGCTTTCAGTGCTATCACACTTTGAATGACAATTGCGCGGTCATGCAACACTGTACCCATATGAATTTTTTAGCATTTTTTTGACACATAAAACTTTATTTTGGTGGTATTTATTCACTACTGGGATTTTTATTTTTTTGCTATATAAATGAAAAAGTCCAAACATTTTGGAAAAAAAAAAAGTGTTTTTCTTATAACATTTTGTAAATAAATAATCTTTCGTCATAACTCTTGGCCAAAATGTGTTCCTCTATCTTTTTAGTAAAAAAAAATAGTTTATAAGCAAAAATTATAATAAAAAAAAAAAAAAATTTGACATTTTTATTTTATTTTTTTTATATTATTATTTATGTGTTTTTTTTTAAACATACTGTCACCCTAGCAGTACAGTGTCACCATAGTGACACTGTACTACTTGTTGGGGGTGATGAAGATTTTTTTTTTTTTTTTTTTTACACTGATTGCTTTTACACCCATATAGTTTGTAAACGGCCACCCGACCCTGCAGTGCCACCGTCCGGCCATTTAAATACAACGGCCGGTCAGGAAGTGGTTAATATACAGTGCAGTGCTTCTCTATTCACATAAACCAATTCTATGTGCAAAATGTAGTAAACATATATCAACTATTGTGAACATGCATTATAGTGAACATGTGTCAATGCAAAGTCTCTCAAAATTTCTTCAACTTAAATCAGCAATCTCTCCAAGTTGGATAAACCTTCTGTCTTCATATAAATTAATTCCTCCACCAAACAACCATCAGATGTGCCCTCACCTGGAGTTCTTGACCTCACATCACGTTAGGTCAAAAAATGCATGCGTCCCAAAGATTGGACATATAAAGGTGTACGTCTCCACACTGGAGTATCTTCCTCCAACAATCACCACTTCCTAAAAGAGCTCCTCCTCCACTCCACATATATGATATAAAAGATAGGGAACACAATGGTGCTTTATCCTTAACTAGTTGCCGACCGCAGATAGCCGAATGACGGCTGCACTGCGGCTGGCCAGTTCTGGGTGGACGTCATATGACGGCCTCCCAGAACGCGCTCTCCTGCACGCCCCAGGGGGCGCGCACCCGGCGATCTCCGTGATCGCTGTGTCCTACGGACACAGCTGATCACGTGCTGTGGTAAAAGGCCAATCACAGCGGCCTTTTACCACGTGATCAGCGGTGTCCTATGACACGCTGATCACAGGGAAATGCAAGTGCCGGTTCTCGTCTGCACTTTCCTCATGCTGTCAGATCGTGAGGAAAGTACTGCCGAGAACCGGCAGTTGTCAGAGCGAGGATCGGCACCGATCATCAGGGCGCTGATGATCAGTGCCCTGATGATCGGTGCCCAGCAGTGCCACCCACAAGTTCCGCCCACCTGTGCCCAGCAGTGCGCCCACTAGCTCTGCCCACCTGTGCCCAGCAGATCACCCACCTGTGCCCAGCAGTGCACCCACCTGTGCCACTCTGCAGTGTCACACACCTGTGCCCAGAAGTGCCACCTACCTGTGCCCAGCAGTGCCACCCACCTGTGCCCACCCACCCACCAGTGCTGTGCCCACCAGTGCAGCCCAGCAGTGCTGCCAGTCAGTGCCACCAGTCAGTGCCCAGTGGTTGTGCCAGTCAGTGCCCAGCAGTGATGCCAGTCAGTGCCGTCTATCAGTACCCATCATCAGTGTCACCTATCAGTGCTGCATATTAGTGCTGCCTATCCGTGACACCTCATTAGTGCTGCCTATCAGTACCGCCTATCCGTGCCACCTCATTGGTACTGCCTATCAGTGCCCTTTAGTGCTGCCTATCAGTCAGTGCCCATCAGTGCTGCCTCATCAACGCACATCAGTGAAGGAGAAAAATTATCTGTTTGAAAAATTTTATAATAGAAACAAAGAAACTTTTTTTTTTTTTTTCAAATTTTTTGCATTTTTTTTATTTATAGCGCAAAAAGTAAAGCGCCCAGTGGCGATTAAATACCACCAAAAGAAAGCTCTATTTGTGAGAAAAAAATGATCAAAATTTCATATGGGTACAATGTTGCATGACTGCGCAATTGTCAATCAAAATGCGGCAGCGCTGAAAGCTGAAAATTGGCCTGGTAAATAAGGGGGTATAAGTGCCTGGTAGGCAAATGGTTAAAACAACTCAATTTTATTAAAAGCTTTAAAAGTGGCCACTCACATTTTCTAGGTGCTCACCACACCAGATATAATACACATGTAAAAACAGCGTAACCAGCATAAGTATAAATGTACCATCCTCCACTCATCCGCTGAGATACTATATCAATCCGTGTAGTGAGCGTCATGACGTTATCAGCCCCTCCCCTATGCGTTACGCCACAGGGTCACGTGGCTTCCTCAGGGATATGATCATATGGTCAGGAAGGGGGATAAATCCTCTGGAGGGCAAGTGGTTAAAACACTTGGGCGCTGGGCCATGGAGGGGGAGAAATCAGCTGGCCCAGGCTCTCAGCAGCTCCAGACCCTGGGGTGGATCCCGACTTTGAAGTCGGGATCTTTCCCCAGCCTGGACCAGCTGTGTGACGTCAGCTGACAGCGGGCTGAAATCTGGTCACAGGTGTGCAGAACAAACAAAAACACTTTGCCTGTACTTCTCCTTTAGCCTCCCTGGAGGTATTCCTGATTGTAGCTCGGGGTAAAGTTTCAACACTACAAGCGGTAACCCCGAGCTACACACGGGAATACCCTGCAGCATTGCTCCGGGATCCCTTCTGCACTTACCTTGTCCTTCGCTCCCGCAATGTCCCCCCTGCAGCATCCCCGGCAACATCATCCGGCCGATGCCGGCATCTATCTTCCGGGTTCCGTTCCCTGCGACGTCAGGACGTATGGGGACGGAACTGGCGGGAAATTTAAAAATGTCAAAAAGTGACATTCACTAAATACACTAAACATAGTAAAAGATTACTGTATCAAACCATTTCACATACATATTGTCCCCTAGTGCTTTGTCCTGTGCCCTGCCTGCATTTTTACTGTTCTTTCTGCCTGGAAACTGAGAAATGTCCATGGCGTCCAAAAAGCGTCCCTTTAGGTCAAAAGCGGTTTTAGATCAGCTAGAGAACAGCGATAGTAAATCAGAACCACTTGCAGAATTGAGTGATAATGATTCGTGGGGAAATTCGTCATCAGACACTGAAAATGATTTTGCAACTTTGCTGAGTGATGTGCGAACTTGGCGCTATATTTAAAATTTCAGTGTTTTTGGTTTGATTATATTATTGAAGTAAATTTATTATTATTAAATTATTATTTTTTATGATTATTTATTAACTACTTGCCAACCGCAGATAGCCGAATGACGGCTACGCTGCGGCCGGCCAGTTCTGGGAGGGTGTCATATGACGTCCTCCCAGAACGTGCTCTCCTGCGCGCCCCCGGGGGTGCGCACCCGGCGATCTCCATGATCGCTGTGTTCTACGGACACAGCTGATCACGTGATGTGGTAAAAGGCCAATCACAGCCGCTTTTTACCACGTGATTAGCCGTGTCCAATGACACTCTGGTCACCGGGAAATGCAATTGCCGGTTCTCAGCTGCACTTTCCTCACGCTGTCAGAGCGTGAGGAAAGTACTGCCGAGAACCGGCAGTTGTCAGAGCAGGGATCGGCACCGATCATCAGGACACTGATGATCTAGTGCCCTGATGATCGGTGCCCAGCAGTGCCACCCACCAGTTCCGCCCACCTGTGCTCAGCAGTGCATCCACCTGTGTGCACCCACCTGTCAGCAGCAGTGCATGCCACCTACCTGTGCCCAGCAGTGCACCCACCATGTGCCCACCAGTGCCCCAGCAGTGCGCCCACCTGTGCCACCCAGTAGTGCTACACACCTGTGCCCAGAAGTGCCACCTATCCGTCTATCAGTGCCGCCTATCCGTGACACCTCATTAGTGCTGCCTATCAGTGCCGCCTATCCATGCCACCTCATTAGTGCTGCCTATCAGTGCCCCCTATCAGTGCCCATCAGTGCTGCCTATCAGTGCCCATCAGTGCAACCTATTAGTGCCCATCAGTGTAGCCTCATCAACACATATCAGTGAAGGAGAAAAATTTTACCTGTTTGAAAAATTTTATAATAGAAACAAAGAAACTTTTTTTTTTTTCAAATTTTTGCAATTTTTTTGTTTATGGCGCAAACAGTAAAGTGCCCAGTGGCGATTAAATACCACCAAAAGAAAGCTCTATTTGTGAGAAAAAAATGATAAAAATTTCATATGGGTACAATGTTGCATGACCGTGCAATTGTCAATCAAAGTGCGACAGCGCTGAAAGCTGAAAATTGGCCTGGTAAAGAAGGGGGTATAAGTGCCTGGTAGGCAAGTGGTTAAATTATAATTTATGATTTCGTGTTGCAAATTTTAACATACTAGACTCTTGTTCAGACAGATTTCAGTGAGTTATTCCTAAAAATTACAGGCCTACAATAAAAAAATTTCATATTTCCATGCAATAAAATGTACCGCTTTGAGCACAGAAATACTGACATAATCAGACCGCTAGGGAGGCTACGTATTAGTTAACCAAATTCTTATTGGTTGGTATATGTTGCTGTACTTTGCATGTCATCAGAGCTAGCACCAGACAAAATGGAGTCACTGTTAATGAGCAGTGGAAGAAATAATAAGAATTATTGCAATCAGAATATGGTGAGGGATATTACTATTTGTTCTTTTTTACATACAAGGCTGCATTTTTTTCATTCTGTAAATTTCTGTTTAGGGTATTATTTGTTAGAACATGTATACCTTGTTTGTGAATGGTTGTGTGATGTTCTCATGCACAGAAAGCCCAGATAGCAGCATATTAGTTGTTATTGTTAACTAGTACACATGGCAGTGTAGGCATTGATAATGGTGACACTCTTCTTTGACATTGATGCTCTACAGCGCTGAAGTCTGGGGGTCAATCTTGGCCAGGCTGCTATCTGCTTGAAATTTATATTTTAATATTTTTGCATTATCCAAAAGTATTTCTGGATTTTTTCTATAGCCCAACTACTTTTACTTTGCACCAGTTTAATATAAATGCTATCTTGCTGCCGTGGAATGTGCTGCTCTTAATCATGCACTTTTGCTCACTTTGATTTTGGACAGGCCGGCACTGTTACAAAACAACAAAGTAATTACTGCAATTATAACTTAACAGATTTTTATGATTTTATTGTTCTCAGGGTCACGCAAGGAAAAAAAGACCTGCAAGGTGGTTTTTTACTGAACAGGAATTAAGACAACGTTTGACACCCAAACAATACCATGTCACCCAAGAAAAAGGGACCGAAAGGTAACATGTCTGTGTTAACAAGTCACTCAGCCCAGGACATAAGATCACCTAAAATCTTCATGTAGACATACAGAATGATGGGCAAGGAAACCTCTGCCCATCCTCCAATTAGGTGCATTAAACCTGCTGTAGTTGTCACTCAGTGGTGACAGTGGCACCTATACTGTATGTAATCCATCTCTCATTAGGCATGCCATTTAAGCATGTGTGTTTAGACTTAGAGGAAAGGTAATAATTGTAGGCCTAGAAAATGTTGTCACAGTGGGGTTTATTTACTAAAGCTGGTTCGCTCAGAATCTGGTGCATCTGTGCATGGTAGCCAATCAGCTTCTAACCCCAGCTTGTTCAATTAAGGTTTAGCAATAAAACCTGTAAGCCGATTGGTTTCTATGCAGAAGTGCACAAGATTCTGAGAGAAACAGGTTTAGTAAATAAACCCTTCTGTTTTTATGTTAGCACTTCTGTCTGGCAGCACTAACGTCGTCAATTCGAATCCCATCCATGGCACTACCTGTCTGTTGTTTGCATGTTTTCCCTGTGCCTGCGTGAGTTTCCTCTGGGTACTCAGGTTTCGCCCCACACTCCAAAGACATGCTGGTAGGTTAAATGGTTCCTATCTAAATTGACCCTAGTATGTGTATGTATGTATGTATGTATGTGAGATAGGGACCTTAGATAGTAAGCTCCTTGAGGGCAGGGATTGATATGAATTTACAAAATATACAGTGCATTCATAAACTATACAGACCCCCTTCACTTTTTTCAATTTTGTTATGTTGCAGCCTGATACTACAGTTGTTTAAATTCTTTAATTTCATTTCATTTTTTGTCCCATTAAAGCGGAGTTCCACTCACACTGTAAAAAAACTGTAGCTGCTGACCTTTAAAAAACAACTACTCACCTGTCCCTCGATCCTGCAGTGTCCTCCCCGCAGCCCGTTTCACCAGCCGTCTGGTGTTCCAGGCGCCGGCATCTTCAGTGTGGGCACCCGGCGGTAACAGCTTGTGGCTTCACAGCCGGGTGCCCACTGCGCATGAGCGAGTAGCACTGCTACTGCTTTTCCTGAATGGCCCCGTAGTCTTCTGGGACCTGTCCCGTGTCCCAGAAGACTATGGGGAGGGAGGGTAAGAGGACAACTTCCGCTTCCGATTGCCTAGGCGATCCCAGCAGAAGTTGGAGAGGGTACCTGTCAGTTTTGGGTACCCGCTCCCCCCACCCCCCAAAGGTGTCAATCCTTAATAGGGAGTGGGGGACCAGTCTTTAAAGTGGAACTCTTCCCCTTTTGGGTGGAGCTCCGCTTTAAGTTACACTCAGTACCCATAATGACGAAGTGAAAACAAAATTTTGGAATTGTGAATTTATTAAAAAAAAAAAAAAAAAAAACCTGAAATATCACAAGTACTTAGATATTCAGGCCCTTTACTCAGTACTGTGTTGAAGCACCTTTGACAGCAATTACAGCCTCTAGGCTTTTTGGATATGATATGACAAACTTTGCACACCTGCATTGGGGGATTTTATGCCATTCTACTTTGCAAATCCTCTCAAACTCAGTCAGGTTGGATGACGATAGACAGCCACTTTCAGGTCTTTCCAGAGACGTTCAATAAAGTTCAAGTAACGGCTCTGGCTGGGCTACTCTAGGACATTCACAGAGTTGTCCCTAAGACACTTCTGTATTGCCTTGGCTGTGTGCTTCAGATCGCTGGAAGGACAACCTTCAGCCCAGTCTGAGGTCCTGAGCACTGGCAGGTTACAGGCAGCACATAGAGCAGGGTCAGACAAGCCAGGTCAATTGCGAGCAGGCACGTCAGGATCAAAGCAGCAGGCAGAGGAGTGGTCAGGTTCAGGCAGGAATTCACAAGGGTAAGCAGACAGGCAAAAGGATCAGACCGAGATGTAGTCAAAGGGAAAGCCAGGGGTTGGTTCAGGCAGAGTTCAGTCGTGGTCAAACGGATCAGGATGGCAACAGAAGATTAACACAGGAGCAGATATCAGATAGTAAACTCTGTAAACCATAAGGCAAAATCCCAGGGTTGCTGTCCACTTGGCGCCAGCCTAACGCCTTGCATGCGCACACATGAACGGGCACGGCTGATGGGTTTTCTGGATTGGTGCATAGTTATGCGCCTGGGCACACTTTGCCTTCCCTGACATCCCCACAGCATGATGCTGCCACCATCATGCTTCACTGTTGGATTGGTATTGGGCAGGTTATGCGTGGTGCCTGGTTTCCTTCAGGCACAACATTTGGAATTGAGGCCAAACTGTTAATTCTTGGTTTCATCAGAGCAGATAATCTTGTTCCTCACAGTCTGAGAGTCCTTCGGGTGCTTTTTTACAAACTCCAAGTGGGCTTTTATGTGTTTTGCACTGAGAAGAGGCTTCCATCTAGCCACTCTGCCATAAGGCTCAGATCAGTGGATGGTTGCAGTGATGGTTGCCCTTCTGGAACTGTGTATCATCTCCACACACTCTAGAGCTCAGTCAGAGTGACCATCAGGTTCTTGGTCACCTCTCTTACTAAGGGCCTTCTCCCCTGATTACACAGTGTGGCCAGGCAACCAACTTGGAAAAGTCCTGGTTGTGTCAAACTTTTTTCCATTTGAAGCCACTGCGCTCTTGGGAATCTTCAGTGCAGCAGAAATT